AGCATCAGCCTGATCATAAATCTGTCCACTCTCAAATGAAGAGATATCTTGCCTATACAGACTGTTCGGGCTCTTCCGACCAGTTACAGAAACAGATCCTTTGTATAACTTGAGAGTCACAGAACCTGTGGTGGTCTCAGTGATCTTCTCCATAAACGCATCCATTGACTCGCGAAGTGGGTCAAACCACCTTCCTGCATAAACAAGCTCTGCATACTTGAGGGCTAGGGAATCTTTGATTTGAATTGTTTCTCGATCAAGTGTTAAAGACTCTAGCTCACGAGCAGCAGCAAAGAGGATGGTGCCACCAGGAGTTTCATAAACTCCACGACTTTTCATACCGACAAGCCTGTTTTCAACCATGTCAATACGGCCGATTCCATGTTTCCCACCGATCTCATTTAGTTGGGCAAGAAGGGATGCTGGGGGAAGCTGTTTTCCATTGACTGAAACAGGAAGACCCTTAACTATCCCAATTTCAACGAGTCTACAAGAAGTAAGAGCATAGAAGTAAGAGCATAGAAGTAAGTACCATCTCATTATGGAGAGAAAAAAAAAAAGAAAAAGAACAAGAAAAAAGAAAAAAGAGATATGCTGGATTGAAAACATGTTATGAAAACTTACTCAGGTTTGTCAGGTGCATCTTCTGGATCAACACTCATCATGTACATATCTTTTTTTGGCTCATTTGCTGGGTCTTCTAAGATGTCTCCCTTCAGGTTCACAAACATAAAAAACAAAATTAGGGGAGAAAAGTGAGTGGAGAAACAACAACAAAGTTTTTGAGCAATGCCCTGCAACTTTAAACTATGGTCATCAAAATGAATGAATTCATTAATTTCTATGCAAAATCAGGGATTAATGAAATAACTGGATTAACATCACCAGCTCCATAATTAGAACAAAATTATGTGATTCTTTTCCACCACCATAGACCCATGCATATTCAAAAACTTAAGTATAAGCGCATATGTTGCACACAACTGGGTAAATACACCTAATTTCATATCTTCAGAAAAGGGAAAACAATTTGGTAGATGTGCCTAATTTCTCTATGTAATGGGAATAAAAAGTTGCCTATGCCGTGAGAAAATTCCCATTTGAAGTGACTTAAAATACCTTTGACTACTCTTTCACCAAATATGCCATCTGTAGATCTAAAAGAGGTGTCTCTTACATATTCATAACTACAACCATACCATCTTACTCTGGCAAGGATGACTACAGGTTATAAAATGTCCAACAAATTAAACTGGCAGATTAATAATAAAGTTCACAGTAGACAACAGATTTTCAACTTCTACTCTAAAACATGACTTTGGATTATCATATCAATAAATATAAGATGCAATTAGAAAGAATAAATTATTGGCAGTCACCTCATGGCTCAAATGCCACAAGTTCCGGTCTCTGCTGTATATGGATTTTTTCGTCACAGGGACAGGCACATTATGCTTCTTGGCATATTCAATGGCATCTTCTCTTCCTTGAATATCCCATTCCCTCCATGGAGCCACAACATTCAGCTCAGGATTTAAAGCAAAGAATGTAAGCTCAAAGCGGACCTGAAGATGATTAGAAAGGCAAAATTTAGTAAGAAAATTAACACAAAATGTCTTTTAATTATCAAAGATGAAGGTTGCAACATGCCTGATCATTTCCTTTCCCTGTGCATCCATGAGAGACAGCGTCAGCCCCAACTTCTTTGGCAACATCCACCATAGCCTGTCATCATGAGTAACCATTATAACAACAAATTTATCATATAAAAGATAAAAACCAACGTACAAATCCATAAATAACTAACAGCTCAACACAGTCATACCCGTCATTAAACAAAAAATGTCAAGAATATTTATTTAGTTAATAATCAAGAAAGAGGAAAAACGACCAAAAGGATGGCACAATTTCCTTCACTATGTACAACAAGTAGAAATCAAGGCTTAGAGCAGACCCTTAGAATGCAAAACTACTCAATCAGTATTAACTCTGATATGGGAGATCACCTTTGCAATAACCGGGCGTGCCATTGAGGTTCCCAACAAGTATTTTCTTTCATAAATTGCACCAGCTCGCAAACAAGGAAATATGTAGTCTCTCACAAATTCCTCCTTCAAGTCCTTCACCACTAACTGACAAGCTCCACTAGCTTTGGCCTTTTCTTCTAAACCTTCCAGTTCTCCAATGCCCTATAAAATGAATGTTTGTAAGCATACACATTAAGAAAATAAGTTATAACCTGTTAGAAGTTGAATTTGTCCCACATCACCCTAATAGTAGGCTGTTATGGTGTATATAAGTGATTGGGCTCCCTCCTCCCTTGAGCTAGTTTTTGGGAGTGAGTTCTACTCAAGCCCACTTTATCATAACCAAATAAAACATAACATAACAGGTCAATGGGATCTAAGGACACATAATAGGTTCAATAATGCAGTAAGTACAGTATATGTCAATCTATCAACATACTTGACCAACATCGGCAGTGAAGCAGACAACCTCGCAACCATAATTCTCCCTACAAAATAAAAAAAAAAATTAGAAATATATCAGAAGGAAATGATTCAAAATAAAGATCAGAGGAATAGATCCCAACTGGAAAAAACTAAAACAGAATCTTTTAAAACACATCAAGGAACATGAAGATGAGGTGAAACGGAATGCTACTGGCAGTACATAAAGTGAACAGATTACACTCTATAAAGGATAAGTGTCCAATTATGGAGTTATGGCAATATCTGATTAGGCCAAAGGCAAACATAAAATTCACTGTTGGCACCACATCAAAGTTATCAAAATTTCATAAATTGTTGGCATCTCTATACTATTATCACACAGCAATGCACATTGCTTTTCAAATACTCAAAACTCTATGCTGCTACCACTCCTTATTAAACAAATATTAAAAAATAAAAAAAAATAACACATATTGGGTATATCAAATAAGAGAAAATTCCATGTCAGTTTCATACTGACATCTACACATTCCTATGCCTCCTAATTCAAGTAAGAATTACACTGTATGACTCATGAACTATTGGTAGTTAATTTCACAAAAAGAACTAATATGAAACAAAAAACAAGGAGTATACCTTAGCCACGGAACAATGACTGATGTGTCCAAGCCACCACTATAAGCTAAAACAACCTTATTCAACTTGCCACGCAGGCCTCCATTTTTAGCTGAGGAAACTTCCACCTCTTTATCACTTGAAAGAACTGCTTGAATGACTAAAACTCACGTACAAGCCATCAGAATTACACAAAAAGCAAAAAATAATAATAATAATAATTGAATGTCAAATAGCTTGTAAATCACTTAGGTTAAAAACATAACATTAAGTACGGATAAACTACCCAACATTAGCATCTTTACCAAACTTGTTTGCTTTGAGGAGTGTAACAACAAAACCTACAAAACTAATGCATTGAGATCAATCTATGGTACTTGACTAATTTTACACATTTCCATTTCCTACCCGTCATTTTACATAAATGTGCCACAGTTCATTCTCTTGCCAATCCAAGTAGAAGATCAATCAATAAAATATTGACATCCACAACTGGGCAGTTTAGAATAAAACAAAAACCAAAAAACCAAAAATCATATTCAAATGATGAATACATGAAAGGATGATTCTCTCATTTTAACCACACCTTTCTTGTCACAAACTTGGGTGACATTGCGATTATTGCTAACAAATGCATGACCATGAAGTTCACTTGCGCTTGACCCAAACTGCAAACCAAAATTAAAAAACATCTCATTAAAGCACAAACATAAAACCAAGTAGAAGCATAAATAAATCAATTTTTCCAGAAGTGAATAGTACTTACAACAGTGAAGGGACATGAAAAAAAAAAAAAAAAAAAAGAAGAAGAAACCATACAAAATCCCAGTGTAAATACCTGTTGCAATGAATGCACCTTTCTTGGCCAAGATACTTTATTATTATACAACCAAGACCCTGCAAGGAAAAATGATAAGGATTAAACGGAATCTATATTACAAAACATAACTATACTTTAATGTCTTCACAGTTAAACAAAATAATGTAAAATAAAATGAAGTAACCTAATATTTTGTCACAATAAAAAATATCCCATGAATGATACATGCATCTAAAAATCCGTAAAAGAAAAAATGAAGCAAATATAGGAATTGAAATTTAGACTGAAGGGAAAAAAAAAAAAAACCAGTCTTTGGGCCAAGATGAGCAAGATTGATTGATGAACACGGCGGTGACACTGCCTTCAATTGCGCCATTTTCTGGATGGAGCTACACCCTCTACTGTCTTGTTGCGAGAAGAGCGCACACTGACAACCAGAAGCTCAAATAGTTTAACGTCAGGGTTTTAGCCTTTAGGTTCTAAAGAGATCAGTAGTGTTTTAAGGGTTAATAGAAAATGGGTAAATTCATTCTCCCCCTTGTTTAATCCCTCTATTCAAAGTACCCAAAAGGTTCTAGAAAGTAGAAACCAACTAAAAAGTTCGAACATTATAATATAGTGACAATTTCACCCCTAAAACCAACAGTGTTGGCCATCATTATTATAAGAATCAATTAACAATAAAAATACGGCAAAAGCCAACAAAAATAATAATAAAAAGAAGAGTAAACGGCATTTTCCCACCCAAGGTTTGGCAAATCTGCAAGTTCCCACCTTTGGTTTCATAAATTATAGATTTTCACCCTTAAATTAACAGAAAATTATTTAGTCTAACAGTTAAAAAAGGGTAAAATGGTTATTTAAAAGATAAAAATTTCAAAACAACCCTTCACTTCTCAAATTCACCCCACCAAAAAATTTCAAAATAACCTTTCACTTCTCAAATTCACCCCACTAGGGATTTCAGGCCATTTCCAGCCTGTTTCCGACAAAATCGACCCCTCCCGACACCACCATTACAATCCCCTCAACCCCCACATCAAAACTCCTAACTTCCCCGCCTGATTGAACTCCCCAATCGCTGGTCGTCGCTTTTAGTGTCAATCAGCATTTCATCCAAATTCCTGCATGTCCCGACGTCGAAAACCACCCCAAGACCACCAATAGCATCGTCGGCTTCCCCCCACCAAAACCTCCAACATCGCTGACTGCAATTGCCCCCCAATCGTCGTTGCCTCTCCCTTAGGTTTTCCCGTTTTGACGCCCCTTTCCAGCCAAATTCTGGCACCTCGCCGAGGTGCAATCGGGTGAAAAAGTTAAGGGTTTTGGTGAGGAGGATAAGAGGATGTTGATGGTGGTGTCGAGGAGGTCCTATGGTGTCGGAATCAAGCCAGATTTTTGGCTTTGCTAGAATCTCCTTTGGGGGTTATTTGAGAGAAATTTGAGATATGGGGGTTTTTTGAGAGAAAAGGTCTAACAAATATTATGTGGGTGTAAATGGTATCAGAGCTTTGGAAGACAGGGGGTCTCTAGACATGTTAACCTGTTGAAAGTTTTATAGCATGAATAATGATTCTAATGATGAAGTTTGTATGAATAAGACTTGTTTTCATTTGGATCATGGACTCGAGGGAAAACCAGAGACCAGTTTGTTAAATACTGTCATAGATAAGTTAGAACTTTTGACCCAGAAGCTTGATAACTTAGACAGGAGAGTGAATTATACGGTGTATCATATATTTGCTCTAAACGAAGAACTGACCGAGATTGGAAAACAGATTGAAAAGGTCAATTGACTCAATTCTGCATTTCAAAAGGTTAAGACACTGGAACGTATCCTAACTGTTTTACTAAGTCAGTAAAATAGGAGATGTCCTTGGTTCTAAGTGACATCGAGCAAGTGTTGCCTATTGAAGGATATACAGAACAAAAGGTTAAACAAGTTGTGTTAGACCTCTGTAACGGAAATCCAGATATTCGAGAAGAGTATCTAACTTGGCTAGGAGTAAAGCAACTTTTGGATGTTATCCAAAAGGCCTTTAGTCAATGGTGCACAAAGATTTTGTGCTTTATTTGCCAGATTTCAACCATTGAAGTTGCTGAGTTGGAACTTCGGAATAAAGTGGTTGGAAAAGGCTGAGGTGGTAATTCCTTATTGGTACGGCGAATCCCAGCCGGATCTAGATCATGAACCATATAAAGAGTCGGACTTTGCAACTAGTTTAAGGATTGATTCAGATTGACCATGGGTAGTCAGGACGTTCTGGATCAGTTTGCGGCAAGTCTACAGGAAAAATATCATGGATTGCCTCCAAGATATGCATAGTTCGTAGCCAAAGAAACCCAAGGTGATTGGGAAAATGCGAAAAAGCTCTTTATGAAAGGAGTAAAGGAAGAAGACTTTGTTTCTAAAGTGAATGGCAAACAGAAGGTTGATATTCCGGAAACTTCTACCTCTGATGCTGAAAGAATCAGCAGGTATTATGAGGAAGAAATGAGTACCTAGAATGGTGGAGATACCGTCTAGTGGAAGTTTCCTAAACCTCGATTGTGTCACGAATGTTACGGATGCAATTGAGGCATGGGAAACTGTTAACTGGGTTCATGTGCAAAATAAAAATTTTGGACTCAGTGATACTTATAGATTCCTCAAATCCACACTACAGGGAGCTGCAGGAAGCTTTTGACGAAGTTTAGAAGCTAGTACAGGTTTGTTAGATACTATAAGGGACTCGAAGAATGCAGATGCTATTTTTTCACTCTTCAAGGATATGCTCTGTCGAGAATTTACTGGGATAACCCACATAATATTTGTTAGACGATATTAGTTTAAGGGTGGGAATCTACAATTTATGAAACCAGGGGTGGAAACTTGTAGATTCGCCAAACTTGGGTGGGAATATGTTGTTTACTCTAAAAATGGGTGTGTTTGTTTTATTATTTTGAGTAGTATTTTTGAAATATTATTATTAAGTTGAGTTGGGTTATTATTACGAGTTAGAATTTAAAAATTAACAAAAAAACTCTTAAGTTTGTTAATTTAGCTAAACACCCCCAATAATAAAAAGTTTATAAATTGACAAAAACACCCCCACTCTTAAACAAAAAAAGCCCTTAGGTATCTGGCCGAAATCTTGTTTCATTGTGTACGACCAGCCAGATCTGGCTAGTCGTGCACTGCTATGGCCTTTTTCGGCCAAATCTACAGCCGGATCTGGCCGAAAAAGGCCAGATCTAGGACCGGATCCAGCCGTTGATGGCCACATCTGGCCGTCAATGATGACCAAAGATATGGTCGTCGTTGAGGGTCAAGGACAGCCATATATTAGCCGTCATTGACGGCTAGATGTAGCCAAAGATCTGGCCGTCAACGGCCAGATCTTTGGTCGTGGATCTAGCCTTTTTCGACTAGATCCACGGTGGATCTGTCCGAAAAATACCAGATCGGCACACTACCGATCAGATCCAATCGGTAGTACGTCATTATGTTAGATTCCGATCACCTTCCGATGGTGGTTGCTGGAATCTGACAAATATGGATGGGTGGGGATGTTTTTGTCAATTTATAAAAAAAAAATTATTGGGGGTGTTTAGTTAAATTAATAAACCTATGAGGATTTAAAAAATTAAATATTATAGAATATGATTTTGATAATAGGAAAATAAACATGCTTTTTTTTAAGAATAGGAATAAAGTATTTTGAAAATAGCGTCCTACTTACTGAAATTGTGTGTAGTAGAATTTGTATTGGATTATTTATTACTTTCTTTCTTTTTTAGTAATTTGAATAATTATAAAATTTAAGAAATTTGAGAAAGAATTTATTAATCACAAGACTCCAAGAATAAGTGATGTACAGTGAATGACCAGAAACAAAAAGAAAGACTGTGATAAGATAATAAGGAAATTATATTAAAACAGGTGATTGACAATTTTTTTGTGTAAAGTAATTATTTCTTATTTTAATTTTAGTTTAATAAATATTATAGATTTCTTTTCTTTCTTTTTCTAAATTTTAGTTTGTATTAGTAAATAAGAAAAGTACATTGAAGAATAAATTATTGTTATGTTCATTTTATAGCATTCAAGTAAGAAAGAAAGAGGGGTTTTTTTTTTTTTTTTTTTGGTCTCTTTATCGGATTTTGTGTATCAAAATTCAAATAACAACTTTGAGTAAGGGAGGTTAGGGTAAAATTGTTACTTTTTCATAATGTTTGGGCTTGCAGAGTACCTTTTAGAATATGTGGGTCTAGTGTTAAGCCCTGGAGTTGTCGTATTCTTGTTGGTTGGTCAATGGAGCCGACACACGTGTATGTATGTCTACCATCTTTGCGGTGCTGGTTTACCATCTTTGCTGTGCTGGTTTAGTATTCTAATGCTTTTTACGATAGTATTTTAGCAAAAACTAAAAAGTAAAACTAGATTATTTGTATGAGAAAAATAATTATTAATATTTTAAAAGTTAAATAAAATTGAATTGAATTTTAAAAATATTAAAACAGACATGTCTGCTTTTATAGTGAAATAGAATAGGGTAATAACAGTGAAAAACTATTAAGAAACAATCATTCAATTGTTTAGGGCGTCTCCAAACTTCAGAGGTATGAATTTTACCATGTCTTATAGACAGGTACAAAAACTACGGAATTGAGTTCTAAATTTTTTATAGTTTTATTAAGAATTCTGGGAAATTTAACCTGAGGGCTGTATGGGCTACTCCTCAGTGGGTGATAGGCTTTCTATCTTGAGCTTCTTTCTGTTTCTGGTTGCGGGTGAGTCCGCTTCTCTGGACCATAACAATCGGCATTGCATAAGGTCCAGCAGTCTAGATTGCAAATGCTTATTCATCTCCATCACGTGCTTCGTCATCCTAGTGGCCCATGTCCGATAATCTGTGCTTGTTTCCACTTTCATTTGCATGGCTGCAGGTGTTCCTTCTTGCTGCCCACACATCAAGAAAATGAGAAATGAGGAAACAAAATCCTTAACAAGGAGAGAAAGGGAGAAAGATAAGAGAGGCAGACCTGTAGTTCACACATATACTGATATAGTGACTTGGTTCCTTGTAGATTAATGGAAAAATGATCATCGTTGCTAGAAAAATATGAATGGAGGAGAGTAATCATTCCCTTTGACAAGCTGTCTGGTTGAGGATACTTATCTAGCAAAGAAATGCGGAACTTATTCGATACTCTTTGATGGTTTGACAATGAAAGTAGTGAGGACTTTGGAATCACTAACAGATTAGTTACTGGTCCTGCGTGTTGGAAATCACGATATTGGTAAAAACCTCATTTGATTATTGCAGAAGAAATGGAATTAAACACAGAAACATTCACACGAACATCATTTGGACCTCTCAACCAAAAAACTAAATAAACCAAAATTGAAGATTCAGGTTACCTTTTTTATGGTCGAATCTTCGAATGATCACCCTACCATTGACATCCCAGAGACACACAGTTCTATCTTCTGATGCTGATATCAGATAGGATGCACTGAAGGTCAATGCAGTTATTGCTCCACTGTTCAGTAGATGAAATTTAAAGTCATTTACATCAAGACATGGGCAGATATAAAGGTCTGGGGGAGATAAGAACAGGGTATTCACAAATGAACACTAAGGAAAAATGCATTTTCTTTGTGTTTATCAAATGTCTATATGAGCGAGAAGGGGAGAAAAAAGAGAAATTTTTAGCTTAATGGTGTTGGAGTATAATTAATGTGGTTGAAGACTATAACTATTTTATTTTTTATTTTTTTACTTATTTATTTATTTGCATCTCGTGTCACAGGATTTAAGTGCCAATAGGTTTCAAGAAAACTTTAAAGCATCATACATTACACATTACTTGTGTCCTTTAAGCATGCCAGACGTCCGATCCTCCGCAACAATGATAGGATCCTCCAGTACTATCCCAATTTCAAGCCTATTAACAAATATTCTTCCATCGACACTTCCTACAAACATGAGTAGCTCTACTGGATCAACAAGAATTGCAGTTAATCCTACTGGATAAACTTGTGTTTGTATAAGCCTTCCTGAGATTAGGTCCCAAATCTGCAAAATTCCAAATAATGTCCCTTTTGTAAGACGAGGTTTTAACGTTAAAGATATAAGTACTACTAGTAGTTTGAACCACAATGCAGTTTCCAAACCTTGCATGTTGCATCAAGGGAGCTAGATACAAAAATTGAACTTGTAACATCGCATACTATTAGCAAACTAGTTATAGAGGACTTATGCTCCGATGAATAATGTAATAAAGAAGTTACGCTCCCGGAATCTTCCATTTCCGACAAATAGCGGTCTAACCGATTACAACGATGCATCATTTCAGAGCTTTTCTTCATTAATCTAAATGGTTGTCCAGAAGTTAGTGCCAAACCAAGTGGAAAATGAATAAACAGAGAAAAAAATCAGTTTATACCTAATCATAGACCAAATGCAGATCATACCATCATCTGAACCAGTAATAAGAAGGGATCCATCATCAGAAAAGACCATGCACTTTATAGATTTATAATGTGCGCACCAAAAAGTGAGCAGTCTTCCATTAGCAACCTGCAAGTTACTCCAATCAAATTAGACTTTAATGATAACTGAATCTTTTACATCCAAAATTGATGCAATAATTCTTTGCACCAAAACTTGAAGAAATATACACATATATTAACAAATGCACAAAAAAAGGAAAAAAGGGGGTCTAGAGTCTAGACAACACAATATTTATCGCAATACAGTTGCTAACTTAATGTCTCTCCTTAAAGAATTCATCTGGAGAAATAAAGAAATGACAGAACTGAGTATTTTACTTTAATAGGAAGTGACGGAAAAGAAAATGACTTACTAACCTCCCAAAGATAAGCATTCCCCGAAGGAGCACCACCAGCAAGATACACACCATCCTTTGAGAAAGAAATCGGTCCCATGGCTTCCATTGTGTAGCTTCGAAGCGGGGGATGAGGCTGAAAATCAAAACATGCATTTGTATTTCCCTTTGGAAAGACCGCCAGAATCAAGAATGATCATAACAAATTCTAAGGAACCCCATGAGATAACATAATAACCATCTATCAGACAAGTTTCTCGTCGGATTCTTATCAACTTTAGTTTCTTCCACTAGGGTTTATTAAAATGATGAGATCAACCATCCCATAGACTCTAGTCATTGAGCTCTCTTTTGAACTTAAACAAAAAAACTAAGGAATCTTGTGCCTATATATATTAGACTATTGGTTCAGTGAAAAGTGTGTACAATTTGACAACAAAAATTTTAAAGAATACATCGGTTCAGTATGTATGAAAAGCTTCAATTACATCACAAAATTTTGCAAATATAAATCAATGATATGATCACAACGATTCTCAGCAAACGAAAGAGAGGAAAGTCAAGGGTGTTACCTTGTTTAATGCCCACATGAAGATAGTGCCGCCACCAAGAGAGCCATGTCTATTAACCTGAGAAGCTGCAAGATATTGATTTCTCAAACACAATAAGCCATGGGGAGAAGCCGCACAACTTGGTATGCGAAGAATTTGATCCCCAGTTTCAATATCCCGAATTGTCATCCCAATTTTTAAACTCCTATCACTACAAACCACCAAAGCCTCTCTTCCTTCACTCATCTTTTATTATATTTCCTTCTTCTTCTATCATTCATTTTAAATCCGCGTAACAGTGTGAATGTGAAGCTTTACATGCAGGGGGTGGTTTGAGCACATGCATGGGATGATTGACACGCGGCAGGTACATTTGTGAAAGAGACGAAGTTAGTTGGAGAATTTTGCATCTTAGCTGCGTGGTTAGTGAAATCTACAAATGTTGTTCATGCAGCTACTGAGTTGTCAAAAATGGCGAATGGTGAGATTTGAGAATGCAGACAAAGTGGCTGCTGTAATGCATGGGTTTGTTTTCTTCACATTTATTTGTCAAAACCTTAACAACCCCTCAATAAGGTGTTTATTACAATATGCACAGGTATCATAAAATAACAATTTATCCCTTTTCTGTTAGTTTAAACAGATTGAATGTAAAATAAATTAACGAAATTAAAGCTTGTAGTGCAAATGGTTAATGGAGGGGCCAACGGCTATGAGACAATCAATGATTGTGAATGATTGACTTTTCTCAATCTATTTTACCTTGGTTCCTTTAGAGCCAAATCAGGGAAAAAAAAAAAGGGAAAAAAAAAAAAAAAAAAAAAAAAACCATCTGATTTGATTCTTTCTCAATAGCTATGGAGTATCATACTTAGGGTGTTTTGGTTGGGAATATATAGGATTACCTCATATTACTTGATTATTATATTTGGTTGTCAAGTAATATAAATTTCTGATAATTTTCCAAAACTAATAGAATTATTATTGATAATAAGAAGGTAATCTGATTACCTTCATTTATTGGTATTTAAGATTACTTGGTAATCTTATTTTATTACAATTTTACCTCTACCTATTAAAATTTTTGGACAATAATACTCTTGTTTTAAAACAATTTACAACAATACTAATGGACTATTTTATCCTTATACAAAAATTTAGGACATAAATACCCTCCTTGTTTGTGACTTAAAAAAAAAAAAAAAAAAAAATTACCCAAGGCCACAACCACCCCAGCCACCCAAGATTGCCGCCGACCACCATCACCGGACACAGTGGTGGATCCAGAAATTTCACTTGATGGGGGCAAAAAAATAAAAATTAAAACCAATCATATTCATACTTTTTTTCATTACGATGAGCTTCAACAAAAAGTTACAAAATACAAATAAATATCTTCAAAAAACACAATTTTTGTAAAAATAAAACATTTTTTCTACAATTGTCCTCGATCAGTTTTCTTATTTTGAAAGCGTTGGATAATCATCTCATCGTTAATTGTATCAAATACATATTTCTCAATATAGGTGACCAAGCAATCATTCATCCATTGATCTCTCATTCGATTGCGTAACCGACTTTTCACAAAATTTATTGTAGAAAAAACCCTTTCAACGATCGCAGTCGCAACTGGTAAAATCAATGTAAGTTTTACAAGCTTATACACCAACAGATACAAAATTTCTTTTTTAAACCAAACTAAATTGTTAGCCAAATCACCAATTCCTTGTAACTCAGCAAATTCATCACAAGAATGCATGTCAATAACATAAGTCTCAGTCTGGTTCTCAAATGCAAAAAAATCAAATGGATAAAATTGTGCAAAACGGATCAACTTATGCTTGTCAAAAGCAGAGAATGAATTACTTAGATCTAAACATGTCATATAAAGAAGTAGCTTAGTACTAACTTTAGTGAAATAAGTTCTTGAAGTTGCATATCTATCACTATATAAAACAACTCAACTTGATAGTGATGCATATTTATCATGTGCTCAACTCTCCGTCATGGCCGCCTTTGAATTGCAAACGTGTCATTCATAGTCAAAATGGCAATATCATGCTTTTGGCAAAATGAAGAAACTTCACTCAACAAAGATTCCTATCCTTTATCTCTCAGCAATTGTAACCGTTGTTTGGAGACTTTGACTAAGGCCATAACATTTACAATGTCTTGATCTTTTCTTTGCAATACTTGTGACAACTCATTAGTAATTGCCAATATATTTTTCATCATATGCAAGCTAAATGCAAAATCAAAGGAAGATTAAATCTAATAAATTACATGCTTCACCCCCTTTGTTCAGGATTTAAACCATTTTCTTCAATAACCTCAAGCACATCACCCACAGAGGAGAACAAAAGGATTAAGTTGATCAACTTTCTATTGTAAAAATGCCCAGATTTCTCCCCTCAATTATGTGCAAACCCAACAGCTCTTATTCCTTTCATTTTCACTCCCAATAAAACTTTTAAAAACTAACAGATCCCCTTGCATAGAAATAAAAATCACAAACAATATGTAATAAATATATTAGGATTAAAAATAAGGTTTTACAAAAACAAAATCCAAACTTACTATGAGAGTTGGGCTGTTCCATTCTCAATATCTTAATGTTTTATAGGGGTAAAATTTAAATAAATATAAATATAAATATAAAATTTGATATTTTTAAAAAATTGAGTGGGGGTTGTGGTCCCCACTCATCATTCATTAAATCCACCCCTGGTTGGACGCCATTGGCATTCACAGGAACAATGCACTACTGACAGGATCTGGTCGGTCGTGTGCCGATCAGGCCATTTCCAATCATATCTCTGGCTAGAAACTGCCAGATCGTCGTAGATCTGGGAAAACAGCCAGATCACGACATCTAGCTGTTAACGATGACCAAAGTTCTGGTCAGTTCTGGACGTAGATCTGGTCATTCTCGGCCACATCTATGATGGATCTAGTTGAAAATGGCCAGATCGGTGCACGGTCGGCCATATTTGACCGTTTGTGCACCGTTATAGTCACTACCACCAGCGGCGATATTGGCTTAGGGTAGGTGAGGGTGTTTTTGTTAAGTTTTAAACTTTTTTATTGTTGATGTGTTTTAGCAATATCTCAAATGTAGGGGGTTAAAAAAATTATTTGAAAAATAATATTATATTAATATGTAAAAATGAGGACAATTTAGTAAATTATAAAACATACCGACCAATTTATTCTTCCCAACCAAATATATTAATGTAACATACCAACCAATTTATTCCAATTAACCAAACATGTTTCTTTAAACATTCCCGGTAATCTTCAAGGTAATCTGTATTTCTATTAATATAACATTCTCAGTAATACAACATTCCTTGAACCAAACACACTATATTACTTGATTACCACATTTGGTTGTTAAATAATATGAGATTCCGGTAATCTTCCAATAGTAATTAATGTTGGTAATATATGAGGAAATTTGATTACCTCCATTTTCTTAGGTATTTTAAGATTACTTGGTAATCTTATTTTTGTTACAATTTTACCCTTAACTATTAAAATTTTTGGACAATAATACCCTTGTTTTGAAAAAAAAATTACGAAAAAATTCAAGGACTATTTTATCCTTATATACAAACTTTTTAGGACATAAATACCCTTGGATTATAAAAAAAAAAACCTAAGGGTGGTGCCCGAATCTGGCCATCACCGTCAGCCACCACCCTCGCTGGACATTGTCGAAATGGTGCACAATCGTTGACCGACCAAATCTAGCCAATCGTGCACCAATCTGGCTGGAAACAACCAGATCTATTTTCGTTATTTTGGCCAGATCTATGGCTTTTGGTCGTCGTTAATGACTAGATTATGGCCGTTAACAGCGACCATATGTCTGGCTATCAACGGCCAAAACTCTGGCCATAGATTTGGCAAAAAATGGCTACATCGACGCACAACCAACTAGATCCGATCAGTCGTGAGCCGTTACGATCACTAACGCCACCGCCGGTGATGGTGGCAAGCGGCCGACAGTGGCTTGGGGGGGTGGTGGTGTTTTTGTTAAGTTTTAAACTTTTTTGGTTGCTAGGGTGTTTTAGCAATATCTCAAATGTAGGGGATTAAAAGAATTATTCAAAAAATAATATTATATTATTATTTAAAAATGAGGGTCATTTAGTAAATTACATAATATACCCACCAATTTGTTCCTCCCAACTAAACATACTAATATAACATACCCACTAATTTTTTCCAATCAACCAAACACATTTTTCTAAACATTCTCAGTAATCTTAAAGGTAATCTATCTTTCCATTAATATAATATTTCTAATAATATAACATTCCTTGAATCAAACATACTTGTAAGTAATCCTTTTGTCCACGCGGACATAGACCTTGAATGCATGTGTAACTAGCAAACATGATCTTTCTTTGTAGCGAAAATCAAGATCTATATGGAAAGCTCAATCAAGTTCACTGCCACCAACTCAAATATGAGATAAAGCTCAATCAGATTCAAACTGCAATCCAGTGAGCTAAAATCAACATAAAAAGCTGCCATTTTGGCTACCGAAGGAGTTCGACTTGATGTGTTCATACACCACGTCACCAATGATTGAACACTTCCATATTTGCTACATTTTTTTGTATAACTGACATGGCAAGAATTTAAAGGACAGAGAAATGAACTAAGACGAAATCTGATAGCGTGATTAACGAGAAAATTACGTTTAACCCCTGGATTTTGGTTTATTCCACAGGGTTGTTCCAATTTAAATACTAGTAGAGACCCCTCAAAACTAGTTGTCGTTACTTAGAAACAAACGTCTGAGGGGGCGTTTGGTTGGAGGTTACGTGAGATTACTAGGGTTAAGTCATCTTATATTACTTTATTACTATGTTTGGATGTTAAGTAGATACCGGTAATCTTTAAATACCAATAATGGTTACTATTGGTAATATTGGAGGTAATTTGATTACCTCTATTTTCTTAGGTATTATAAGATTACTAGAATTATCTTTTTTTGTTACAATTTTATCCCTTATTAATAAAATTTTAAGACAATAATGCCTTTATTTTTAAATTTATTTACATAAATATGTCTTTTACTATTTCACCCCAATTAATTAACTTTTTGGACAAAATTACCCTTGAATTCAAAACAAATTGCAGCCCACCCAAGCCACCCCCCCTACCCACCTGCCGCCAGTTACCACCGCCGCGACCGAAACGGCTCATGGAAGGCTGAAAATGGCTGCCGTGCACCGATCTGGCCGTTGACTGCCAGATTGACGAATATCTGGCTATTAACGGCTAGATCTGTCACGTCTGGCCATTTCCAGCCAGATCTCTGGCCGGAAATGCCCATACGTCGCACAGAGGCCATTTCCTACCTTTCGTGTGCCGTTAGGTTACCGGGTGCCAGTGGCCTAAGGTGGTTGCCGACGGCCGACAGTGGTTGGGTTGGTGGGGGTGCTTTGTTGATTTTCCAAACTTTTATTATGGGGTTGTTTTTGCTAAGTTTTTAAATGCAGCGGGGTTATAATAATCCAAATAATAATCAGTATTAAAAAATAATAATATAATAATATTTAATTAGAGGACAATTCAGTAATTTAAATAACATATCCACCAATTTATTCCTCCCAACTAAACATATTAATATAACATACCCACCAATTAACCAAACACATTTTCCTACAGATTCCCAGTAATCTTCCAAGTAATCTAACTTTCTAGTAATCCAACAGTCCTAGTAATCCAACATTCTCTAAACCAAATGCCCCCTGAAGGGCGATCAAGTCATTTGATTTTTAGTCAATAGTTTTCACGCTAATCAATACACGCCCTATATTTTTAATTTAAACTTTTATTATTTATAAAATTGTAAAAATTGAAAACAAGTTGACTAAAAACACCCTAAGTCATCACTTTGTCTTCTCAGCACCACCCTCCGTTTATTCCCCTAATCAAATCCTCTACAATCTCGATGTGCTGGATTATTGGTAGTGGTGATGGTACTAATTGTTGGGATGGTAATACAGATACAAGAAGATGTTCCCAACCAATTGTTTAACTAAATCCAAAGTTCACACCTAGTTGCATTTATTTTAGATTCACACCCTTAAACTAACATTGTTAGTTAATTTTGAATTTTGACTTGTGCTATTACCATCCTATCCTTTACTTTTTATTCCCAACCTGGCCACCACCACCTAGTCATCGCCTCGTCGGTGTTTTCAGCCTTGTTCTGGCTAATTTTTCACCCAAAATCACCTCCAACCTCTTCCCTGTAACCCCTACACCAAAACCCACCAAACCCCTCCACTGTTGCACCCTCCGATGGCTGGAAAACGGCCTCCTTGGCATTTGCATTTTCTCCCAACTTTGCAGCTAGATTCCGACCGATTCCCTCATTGAAAATTCACCTTGAAGCCACCAATTGAATCCCCTTCATCGGCTATACAAAACCCACCATCTCATCGGTCGTCGTCACTCACTGTTTGTTGCCCAAGTTCCATTCCCACCGCTGTGTGACAACTTTTTTTGCCCACTGTTTTTTCTGCCTTTTTGACCCCCTATCCTCCTCTTTATTGCTTTGTTGTCGTTGTTGTGCATTCTTTAGCCACCGGTTATCATCCACTAGCCCAAAATCTCCATTCAAAGTCACACCCACCAGTTGTTTGAGGAAATTCCTCAACCAGCTACCCAACCAAGCACAAGCTGTTTTCCGATGATCGGAGGGTTCAACAGTGAAGGGTTTTGGTGGGTTTCGACGTAGGGGTTACAAGGAAGAGGTTGGAGGTGATTTTGGGTGAAAAATCAGCCAAAAACAAGGTTGAAAACGTCAATGGCTGGGTGATGGTGAGTGGTGACGGTGACTATGTGGGGAAAATAAAAAGTGAAGGGTAGGATGTTAATAGCACAAGTCAGAATTCAAAATTAATTAACAGTGTTAATTTAAAGGTGTGAATCTGAAATAAATGCAACTAGGGATATGAACTTAGGATTTCGCTAAACCTCGGGTGGGGACATGTCGGTTGCTTTTACAGGTATTATTTTTTTTTTCAGGTCAAATGTTGGTCAATATCAGTCTTAAGGGTATTTTTGCCTTTACATCAAAATTTTTGTAAACATTCCTATTTTATAAAACCGATGGATCTTAACGGATGGACAAAAGCCACTGGCGTGTAGAGACTGGATTGGATCCATTAGACTCACTTCTTTGACCAAGTACTTTACACTGTGAGTGTAACAGTCGGTCAACACTCCCAAGTCCCACACTGAGATCCGTTATTCCCGAAATAGAGATTCATCCTCGACATGGGCGGTATTTCTCTTCCCACTTCTCTTCAGATTCTACGATTTTATCATTAAATTTATACCATTTAATTAATTTATTAATCGTGTTTGACAAATGCACCGGTGCAGAATTGGATAGTCCTAGCTCCAGTTTATGGCTAGCTTCTAACCCCAGCAAGAGATGGGGAGAGCTCTTCTTCCTTTGCTACACACCCTTTTGGCTCACTCTTTGTTTGGGAATTGTTGTTCCTTACAAGCTCTACGAGGTAAATTTTACTGTACTATTTTCAGTTACAAAGGCTAAAGTGATTTATTTAAGTGGAAATTTTTGTTATATTTGTATGATTGGAACATTTATAACTCTTGATATTGAGAGCATTGTTATGATGAATTTTACAGAGTTTCACTGAGTTGGAGTATTTGCTTTTGGGTTTGGTTTCAGCGGTTCCTTCTTTTTTGATACCAATATTTCTTGTTGGAAAGGTAAATTCTCGAGTTCTGCTATCTTTTGATCTGTGAAATTCTTTTGAAGTGTTGCTTGAATGGGTTGGTCATGGCGGAGCAATGCGAGTGAATTAGGCCAGATGTGTAATGTTGATTTTATCGTTTTTACATTTTCTCTTCCCTAACGTTTCATGAAGGCTACATTAACCATCACCTAAACATGCTATTTTTGGAGATTTATTCATCAATTGCTTTGTCATAGGTCACTGCGGCTGATTTCCTCTTGAACTAGCTCTCCAATTTCAAGTTTTCTTATTGGTTTTCAAGCTGATTCAAAACTTCAAGAGAGCTATTTGTTACTCATGAACACTTAATAGAATTGTATGGTTTTGAGTGCCCAGTCGAGAGGGCAACACAAGTACTTTAGCTATTAAATGTTTGTGTTCTATTTTTTTCTTTGAGTATCTTTTTTTTTCTTTTTGGCAGGCTGATAGCAGCTTGTGTTGGAAGGATCGTTATTGGGTCAAGGTAAGTGTGTTTTTATGGTAAAATTTTGCGCATGATGTAAACGAAAATGTTAGTCCTCCATGGAAGTTCTTGCTATTAGAAGTAATTACATTGCTATTGCAGGCAAATCTTTGGATAATACTTTTTAGCTATGTTGGCAATTACTTCTGGACCCACTATTTCTTCACAGTTTTGGGAGCTTCATATACGTTCCCATCATGGAAGATGAATAATGTAAGCCACTTACAAACATTACCCATATACATAAAACCTCAAATATGTATAGTCCTTCTATTGGTTTTTTATGCCAGTTTATTGATATTTGCTATTCTCTGTAGGTACCACACACGACTTTCCTTCTCACCCATGTCTGCTTTTTATTTTACCATGTTGCATCGAACTTAACACTTCGCAGAATACGGCATTCTGTTGCTGACTTGCCAGATAAAATTCGATGGGCTGTGGAGGCTGGATGGATTTTGGCTCTTGCTTATTTCATTGCATACCTAGAGACTTTAGCCATTTCTAATGTATGTGCTAACATCGTTCTTTGTTTATCATTTCTTTTTGGCCCCTTTGTTAACAAAACGATAGACCTTCGGAATTCTCTATGGCAACATATCAGTAGGGTGCCTTCAATAAATTAGAATGGTGCAGTTTATTTTTCTGATGATTTATGCTTCTCTCTTATTGTCTAGTGCACTCCTTAGTCTTATCAGAAGAATTTGGATATAATGAATTTTCTGATACTTCATAGATGATTCACCTTAATATTATAACTGAACCACTTAAATGAAATTAATAAAATCAAGCTATGGAATTGAATATTGTGTTTTCTGGGCTTTTTGGATTGATAAATATTTAAGTCTGCTGGATTGAATATTTCTCTTCTAAGTTTTTCTGGTAGTTTCCCCTACATTTCAAAGTTCTGTTGCGTGATTGCTAAGTATAGTGTTTAATTTGAGATGTTCCTACTAGAACTAACTTCCTTGGCCCTAATATTTCAATAAGGCCTTGTCTCTAATAGTTTGCTTGGAATATATGCAGTTCCCTTATTACGAGTTTGTGGACCGTGCATCCATGTATAAAGTTGGGTCTTTGTTTTATGCCATCTACTTCATTGTAAGCTTCCCAATGTTTCTAAGGTGAGAACCCAATCCAACTGGTTAATTTTGACTTTGTTTGTTTAGAAGAATATAGGACCATATTGAAATTCATAAGTTGCAGTGGTAAATGTTGTAATTATCTCGATTATGCTTTCTAGGCTCTAGCACTGTACTTATGCAATTAAGGGTATAATGTGACTCATGCGACGTTTTTTGGTGTGACCACTTTTATCATCTATCAATACTTTTCTTATTTTCTTGATGAGATTTCTCTCGTATGGTCAGAATTAATGAGAAACCCAGTGATCTTTGGGACTTACCCCGAGTTGCGGTAGATGCTCTGGGTGCGGCAATGCTGGTGACAATAATACTTGATTTGTGGCGAATCTTTCTTGGACCAATTGTTCCTCTGCCAGAAGCAAAGCAATGTCTTCAACCAGGGCTTCCATGGTTTCCAGGACAAACCAATCAAACTTGAAGTATGCTCGTGAAGACTGGAGGTTTTCACTCACTCATGGTCCCTCTTGATGATTGCTTGTACTTAAATCTTTTTGACTTCTACGTTTCTGAATATTGATTGGAGGTGTTACTTTCTTGATAGTTGTTGTAGTGAAGTGGTCTGATTGAGTATTTGCTCTCATGCGTTTTGATTGGTGATTAGTGTTAGTATCTCAACAAATTAAGAAAATCCTAGATTAGTATAAACTAAAGCTCTAATGGCGGTTTCCTTTTCGAACTAAACTAAAGTAAATTAGAGAAGAGTAATTGTGGAGACAATCTTTACTGTGTTTACAGTTTGGAAGCATCTTTCTAAGTTTTGTGATTTTCAACTGTAATAGGACTGAGGGTGTCTTTTAAATGATGAAATGTGTTGCATTATATATATTTAAAATTAGTTGATTGAAATAGAAATATAAATTATTATTATTATTTTTTGGGTTTTGAAAGAGAGTTAAAAAGGTGTACAATACTTAAGAATTATTTCATATATGAAGAAAGTGGTTTTCAAAGTTAAAATGAACATAAAAATATTGCTAAAAAGAAATAATTTATTTATTTTGTTATTGGGAGTGTCCAGGTCAGTTTACGCGCATCTCGNACTCACTCATGGTCCCTCTTGATGATTGCTTGTACTTAAATCTTTTTGACTTCTACGTTTCTGAATATTGATTGGAGGTGTTACTTTCTTGATAGTTGTTGTAGTGAAGTGGTCTGATTGAGTATTTGCTCTCATGCGTTTTGATTGGTGATTAGTGTTAGTATCTCAACAAATTAAGAAAATCCTAGATTAGTATAAACTAAAGCTCTAATGGCGGTTTCCTTTTCGAACTAAACTTAAGTAAATTAGAGAAGAGTAATTGTGGAGACAATCTTTACTGTGTTTACAGTTTGGAAGCATCTTTCTAGGTTTTGTGATTTTCAACTGTAATAGGACTGAGGGTGTCTTTTAAATGATAAAATGTGTTGCATTATATATATTTAAAATTAATTGATTGAAATAGAAATAGAAATTATTATTATTATTTTTTGGGTTTTGAAAGAGAGTTAAAAAGGTATACAATACTTAAGAATTATTTCATATATGAAGAAAGTGGTTTTCAAAGTTAAAATGAACATAAAAATATTGCTAAAAAGAAATAATTTATTTATTTATTTATTGGGGGTGTCTATGCCAGTTTACGAGTATCTTGATTAGTCCTCCAACCTTGAACACGACTTCTGAAACAGGGCAAGTCTTACGGTCCGTGGCCAACAATATTAACAATTATTTTTATGATTCGAACTTAAGAGCACAAGGAGAGCAAATCTTTAAGCCTTAAATCTTTATCACTCGGTCTGTTGATTAAAAAAAAAAAAATTATTTAAAAATATTAAAAATTAAATTAAGGTTTTATAAAATTATGATAATCATAAATAAGTGGTAGCACAATTGATATGCATTTTATTTAATAGATTTTTCCTTTGAGAAAAGGAAGAAATAAATTTATTTATTTGTTTATCAATCATAATTCAAATATTTTTCACACGTGTGGGATGATGTCGGCTTTTTAGACACGTGCGTGTGTTTATCTAATACCCAGTTACCCACTGCTGGAAAATGATAAGAAAGAACGAAAGATATTTAATTTCTCAACCTCTCATAAATATCCCCTTCACTCTCTCCGTTTCCCGCTCCAACCTCAATCACTCAACCATCTCTAAAACATAAACCCTACCCAAACGAATTCAAATTTCTAGGGTTTTATTTCACAATTTTGATTCTTAACACATGCAGTTAGGTTTATTAGGGAGTTTCTCTTTCTCTTATTCACTCTACTTGGCTTCTTGTACGCCAGCTAAAGTACAGCCAGTAATGGCGGCTACTAGTGCTCTTTCCCTTACTCCCTACACTTTCTCCTGCAATCCAAGGCATAGAAAACGTTCAATTTTTTGCTCTATTGGCTCTCCTAACACTATAGGTATGAATATGAAATTTGGCAGTTCCATTATTCTTCACTTGGAGGAAGAATTTCCAAAGAATATGTATCGTGATGATTCCTTTCTTAATCACTTATATAATTGCTTTCTTTGGTTTTTTTTTTTCTTTTAAATATAATGAAAGCAGAAAAAAAATGTATTTATCTTGTTCTGTTTTTTAATGATTTATGTTCTGGTTTGGTTGCTGGGAAAATGAGGAAAAGACAATAAAATAAAGAATTTTGAAGCTTTACCGCCAGCAAAAACTGAAAACATTCGGAATTGAATTTGAAGGTTGAAATTATTGAGAAAAATAATTATTACTAGTATGGTAGGGTCCCTTGTATTTGTAGTTCATAAATCTTTGGGACTGCACTTTTTGATAAATCTTCAGTTTAGTTGTATGCTTATCACTGCGCATGTTGCCTACGTTTGCTTTATTAAAAACCTGCTTTTTTATTTATTATTTCTATCATCATTGTATAAAAAATTTTGTGGTAGTATAATAAAAAAATAAATTTGATGGTTGTTAATCTGTTTGGCCTCATTCCAGGTACACATGGATCTAAAGTTCCAAGTAAAAGATCAGGAAGAACTGAAGGGGCTAGAAAAAGTATGGAAGATTCTGTTCAACGCAAGATGGAACAGTTTTATGAAGGGTCTAATGGCCCACCGCTCCGTGTTCTTCCAATTGGTGGTCTTGGTGAAATTGGGATGAACTGCATGCTTGTGGGGAACTATGATCGCTATATTCTAATTGATGCAGGTGTCATGTTTCCAGAGTAAGTATTTAGCCACAGTTTGTACTCCAAAGGGATTGTATCTTATCCCAGGATACTGCCAATTGGAGAGAATAACTTTGTTTGGTGGTTTCTTTCCCCAAAACTAGTTCTACTGGGAGTATAGTTAGTTGCTTCTTGAAGATTTTTTTTTTTTAAGTTTTCAATTGTTAATATATATTGACCAGGACTGGTGAATATATCAACTAGATCTAAGAACCTCTAAATGATTGCATTAGTGAAGAGGAAACGATTGATAATTGTTATTGACCTTTTGCAGTACGCTTATAAAAATCAGGTTCTCCCTTTTTCTTTTCATATGTTGATTTTTTTCTGTGTGTTTGATATGCATTCAGCTATGATGAGCTTGGCGTCCAAAAGATTATACCTGATACCACATTTATCAAAAGATGGAGCCACAAAATTGAAGCAGTTATCATAACTCATGGCCATGAAGATCACATTGGTGCGTTGCCCTGGGTAAAGTTTCCTACTACTTGAACAAATGATTGGAAACTGGCAGGTTGATGCCAGCGTTTTTAGTTTGAGATCTTTAAGCTTGTTTAGGGGGTGAGGGGTTAGGAAAGAAAGATTTCAATTAAGTTAATTGAACTTGCTACAGGTAGTTGCATTTTCCACTTTGGTGTTTGTTCAAGGAAAAAGGAATTGAAAATTATATAACTTGTTGTTCAAAAACATGTATTAGCCCAAATTGTTTAGCTTCTAGCTCTTTTTATCTATTTCCAGTTTAAAATTTTCATGAAATTTCTTGAAATGCCTCAATTTTTATTTGCAGCTGGGATTCTTTGTGATGATGTAGTTGAACAGGGAATTGTCCTCTTAAAAATACATGCAAAGTATCTGTGTTGAACATCTTTTGTAATAAACCCTAGCATTCTCCATTCTTGATGCATGCCTAAATGTTTCTGGTAACTAGAAGAAAAAAAGTTCAATTTTGTTTCTGTTAAGAGAGCAAAATAATCTTTCTGAATGATAAAATGTCAATATGCCAGACCATAGCAACTTGTAAACCTATTATTATTATTTCTATTTTAATAAGAGACTGAAAAGTATTTGTTGATAACGAAGAAGAAAATACAATTGTGGACCCAATGTCCACCTGAATATGATGTCATCAGTTCATTGTAGGATAAGAATCAAAATGGGTACCAATCACTAGGACTAAGTACAGTGCACTAGTTTGGAGTTTAGTAATTTTACTTCATTCTGATCTAGGTTTTTCTATGGAAACCATGAATGTTGATGTGACATTTCCATGGAGATGTATAGGAGCCATAGAAGTATATATGGCCAAGCTGCATTATTTGATTTAGATTACTGAATTATTACAAAGTACTTGTCATGATGGTTTAATTAAATTTCTCTCATTTATTTCGATTGTTACAAAATTTAAATAATTTTCATTGCTTACTGAACAGGTGATCCCAGCTTTGGATTCACATACACCGATATATGCATCTTCATTCACAATGGAGGTACTTGTCATGTTTATTACATATATGCACACATATTCATGTGTTCATAGATAGATGCTCCATAAACACATCCACTCCTCACTTCACGAACTTGCTATGTCTCAGCCAATAATGTTTCTTCTATAGGCAACAAAAAAGTTACCTTGTAAATTCATATTAATTTTGATGTGAAGAATCAAAGTCTATTACAAGTAACTGTCTGGCTTGGGTAGCTCTTGAGACTCTTTCTTTCTTTACTATTATATATTAAATATTTCTGTACTTATACCAAAACCCCTGTATCTCCATTTGTTTGATCATGATGCCTTTCTGTTTCGTTCTTTATTTCAATATTTTGATTGTCTATCATGATTTGGACTAGTTAAACCTCTTGTCTTAACAGCTTATCAGAAAGCGTTTGAAGGAGAATGGGATTTTTGTTCCATCTAGACTTAAAGTGTTTAAAACAAGGAGAAGATTTACGGCCGGCCCATTTGAAATAGAGCCTATCAGAGTGACACATTCTATTCCTGATTGTTGTGGATTAGTTCTTCGCTGTGCTGATGGTACAATTCTTCATACTGGGGATTGGAAGGTAAGTTTATCTAATCTGCTCATTTTCTTACCTACTATTAGTACAAGTCTCACACTTACAAGAATTTCACTTTCAACAGATTGATGAATCACCACTGGATGGGAAAGTTTTTGACCGTGAAGCTTTAGAGCAACTCTCGAAAGAAGGAGTGACACTGGTAAGCCTCCTAGATTCATGTTCTAGATATTTATGTTGACACAAGCAAAGTTGCTCTGGTTTTGGGGGAGAGACAGCTGATCTTCGGTTCTTTAGGAAACATAAATTATGTTATCTGTTTGTTTATGATGCAAAAGTAGATCGAAGACGTAATTAGTGAAAATTTTGGGTAAAGATAGTTTTGTATGGTCAACATCCTCTTGGCAAAAGATTTTCACCAAAATCTTGTAGGATAAGTTTTTCTTTAAATCATTGGCTATTATTAAAAATCATTCTATTCAGGATCCATTTATGATCTTTCTTGAGCAAAACATATCTTGAATTAAATGTTTGTGGCTGGGACTGGCTTCCAATGCCTTGATTCTCTTAATTTTACTCTTTGTGCCCTTAAGAGGTTACTTTATACTTGGCCCTGTTCTTCTCTTTTCAATAAATTCTGTCATATTGAAACAAAGATGTCACATGTGTTTGCCTATATGGGTATATATCTATGCATTGTGTATTTATAACTTCATGATGAAGATGAGCAAACTTGACATTTAATATCCAACTTCTTTCAGATGATGAGTGATTCAACAAATGTACTGTCACCTGGAAGGACAACTAGTGAAAGTGTTGTAAGGGATGCATTATTGAAGCATATTTCAGCTGCTAAAGGAAGGGTTATTACTACCCAGTTTGCATCAAATATACACCGCCTTGGAAGCGTTAAATCTGCTGCTGATTTAACTGGTAGAAAGCTAGTATTTGTTGGCATGTCCCTTAGGACATATCTGGATGCTGCTTGGAAGGATGGAAAGGCACCAATTGATCCGTCAACTCTGGTAACAATATTTTGAATTCTGCTTGTCCTTTGCCTATATTTTAAGGAAACCTTCAGATAGCTTCATATTTGTTCTGTTATCTGGTTGAGAGACTGCTTTTACCCATACACTATATATGTTGTTGGGCAAAATTTAGCTTAATTTCAGTTCAACTGAATCTTAAAGCTCTTCCTCAGTGGGTTAATATGTGAATAATTCTTCACCTTTTTACTCCTACAGGGCCATATCCTCACTTAACTCATATGTGTTAGTTTTATTTTTTGGCTCCTCCTGCTTCCTTATTTCCATTCTTTGGTCTTTTGGTTGGACCATACTACCTAAATCTACTTATGCTTTCCTCTTCTCAGTTAGTGTGATATGTAGTTTCTCATTTGCGTATAACTAACTGTCTTGGTGCTGCTAATTGATTGAGATGGATATTTATGTATATTAGCATGCAGTAGCCTGTAGCTTTTGTTATAATCCTTTTCTCACTGAGATATTAGATCATCCACTCCAAATACCCCTCTGCCTTCTATCTCACTCTTCTCACTTTGGCCTTCTGCCTCTTATCCAACATGTCTTTTGTATGCAAAGCATTGGCTGCCTTATGCTCAATACCTCTTATATGATCTCTAGAGATCCAACTGGTAGGATTAGCTAGAACCCTCCATTTTGCCTGTCTTCTTGATTTTGCTTATTTCTTGATCAGACAATGCTGCAAAAACACAAGTTTATCACACTGACTATGGTCAGGACTCCCTTTCATCTGCTTAGGCATTATATGCTGTGTCTTTTAGTATGCTTGTAGATTCTCAGGACAATTCTTTTGAAAACTAAAGTCTGGATCTGTCTTCCATAGACTTTCTAGATAAAAAGTGATTCCTTTTTCCGTGTGCTATTTCTCTGGCATATCTATCCGTATTGGTCAATATTAATCATAATTAAGAATTCTAATCTATGTGATGGCATATTCCCGTCTTGCTTCTATTGAGAAATATATTAGTTTTATGATATCATCTACTCTTGGCCTGTCTTGATATTATATAGGTGAAAGTGGAAGATATTGATAGCTTTGCTCCGAAAGATTTGCTGATTGTTACAACTGGTTCACAAGTAAGTTAATCTTGATTACTATAGTGCTGCTTTGTTGCATGCATTACTGTCTTTATTATTGGGCTATCTTGTTGGCATGTAACCGTGCTTGCTATTGTGTCAGGCAGAACCACGTGCTGCCCTCAATCTTGCGTCCTATGGAGGAAGTCATTCCCTTAAACTGACCAAGGAAGATATTATTTTGTATTCAGCTAAGGTAAAAGATGTTGTGGTAAATATTTATTTCAATTTAACTGGATACATGTTGATGAATTAAAATCAAATGATCAAACATCATATTCTGATTGCTAATGTTTTAGCTTGTTGTGACCTGCCCCTCTATAGGCTTCATTTTGTAACTTTCATAAAATAGCTTTCAACAAGTTCTTGTTCGGGTTAAGTATTATTTAACTTTCATCTTTTCCATTGATGATTACTGCAATTGATTTACTGGAAGCAATGTGTTTTCTTGAAGTTGTCCAAGGTTCTGTTGCCTGATGTTTGGGAGTATTGCTGTTTTAAGGATTATAAACAGTTTCTTGCCGCAATCTATTAGATTTTGAGACTTTTTGGTTGGTTGTATTATTATCTTCAGGTGATCCCTGGTAATGAATCTCGTGTAATGAAAATGCTAAATCGCATATCCGAGATTGGATCAACTATAGTAATGGGTCGGAATGAAGGGCTACATACATCTGGCCATGGTTATCGTGGTGAACTTGTGAGATTTCGTATTCATTTTGTATAGTTTTTTTTCTTATTATAGTTTATTTTCTTTTTCTCATGTAATCAAACTATTTAGAATGATATGAATAGTAATTGTTTATAGTACGATTCTAATCATGCAATTTCTATTTGAAGGAGGAAGTTCTTAAAATAGTAAAGCCACAACATTTTTTACCCATACATGGAGAACTGTTGTTTCTAAAAGAGCATGAACTCCTTGGGAGATCAACTGGCATTCGACATAGTACAGTGAGTCCATGTTTCCTTTTCATGTGATATGATTTTGGCGAATTCATATAATAACTGAGAATTTGTATTACATCCTTGTATGTTTTGTCAATTGGTTATTTAGTGCATTTCAATGGGTCTTCTTGTCCCTTAACCAAATATTTGTAACAATGTGACAAAAAATCTGTTCTGTCTAATTGCATTGGTACATGATTCACTTACAAGGATATATATACTGTGATTTTCTTTTGACATTTTCATGTGAAATGTTCAAAATGGCAAATATGTTACTAAAGTATGGTACCTGAAATGTAATTCATGCAATCATATCAGGTTATAAAGAATGGAGAGATGCTTGGTGTTTCTCACTTGAGGAATAGAAGAGTACTTTCTAACGGTTTTATTTCTCTTGGGAAGGAGAATTTGCAGGTAAGTAGCTATTTCAAGTTTCATTGTCTATTACGAGATAGTAACTGGCAAAACTACTTATAACTTTTTGATTTTATATTGCAGTTGATGTATAGTGATGGTGATAAAGCATTTGGCACATCTACCGAACTCTGCATTGATGAGAGACTAAGAATTGCTACAGATGGTGTTATTGTGGTCAGGTAGATCTTTTAATCTTTAAATAATTACACATCTTTGTTGTATGTAAAATTCATCTTGACAATGCACCACTGCAGCATGGAAGTTTTACGTCCTCAAGAGAGTCTAAATGAATATAGCTTGAAAGGAAAAATAAGACTTACTACACGTTGCCTGTGGCTTGACAAAGGGAAGCTTTTAGATGCAATGTACAAAGCTGCACATGCTGCACTTTCAAGCTGCCCAGTTAGGTGTCCTTTAGCCCACATGGAAAAAACTGTCTCTGAGGTGTTGAGGAAGATGGTGAGGAAGTACAGTGGTAAAAGACCTGAAGTCATTGCCATTGCTGTAGAAAATCCAACTGGAGTTATCTCAGACGAGCTCAATGCAAGGCTATCTGGCAATTCTCATGTTGGTTTTGGTCTACCAACATTGAGAAAAGTGGTTGATGCTCCAAAAAGAAGTCCTTTCAATAATAGTCAAGCAGAAGGCGGCAATGCACAGCACCTAAATTTTGAAGGTTTCAATACATTTCTTTCTCTATGTTAATGTGTGTGCATGTTGAAGAAATATGTCTGCATCTGCATGTCTGTTTGTCTCGTGTTACAGTTGGGGGATGTCACCACACCCACAAATCAGATAGAAGAGATAAAAAGCAATCCTTTCCCCATTCTCCTTTTAGGGAGAAATACTAGAATTTTTACCAGTTATCGTTACATTAAAATACCCCTCAGGAGTGCCTGTCATGGTTGACCATAGGTAATAGAGTGTTTATTACTGAATCACTGAGAAACATAGGGGACAGAAAACTGCTTGGTATTAAACATTGGTTTGATGAGATGTGAGGAGATGAGTAGACAGCTTTCCATCTGTGCTGTACTGCCGATAAAATTTCAAAATTGCATATTGCCCAATGTTAGAAACCCTAAAAGGCCACATGAAACAAGTGAGATAATGTAGATAGCAATGACAGATGATTGAATTGCTTCTTGGGAGATCATTGCAGTTAGGGAAGCAGGGAGGCATCTTCAAGGAAATCATATGGGGGTGCCCGTCATTAAAATTTCAGCAGAAATTAGCTTAGAGAATTTGTGTTCTGGTTCAAAAAGTTCATTTCACATCAATACTTTTTCATGGTTTTCAAAATTAAACTATTTTTTTGGGTTCTTATAAGTATTTTAGCAAATTTGTATGCATGGTCTATAGGATTGTTTAATATTAGTGACACTGATTGGAGATTCAGGATCTTCTGTCGTTATTTCATTTTTTAATTGCAGAGTCCTTTTTCGTGCCCATTGATACAATTCATCGATTTCATTCTGAAACCAACATTAATAGACAATAATGGAAGTTAAGATCTTCCAGAGTATGAAAGAACAATAAAATGAACGAAGCCTAAATGAGAAACCAACTTTTGTTGGCAGTGAGTATGCTACATGTGAAGAGAAAGAACTGGCCATTGCAGTGAGAATGTTTAATTTTCATGCATGTCTTGTAGAAATTCATTGGTCACTTTCTGGTATCGTGAATATTTTCAATGTACACGAATTTCAGGGATTTCTTTTTGGCCCATGACTATTCCGATACACCTTTGGGCTGATAAATTATTTGCATAAGATTTTTATTTGAAGCAAATGTTTTAATTGTTTGTCCTTTTCCATCGTTATTCATTCTTGCAGCCAATCGTAGTGAAGTTGAAGATCTACTTCCAGAGGAAAACACCACTATTTCAAGTTCCAACTTTATTGAAAGACTTCCTTCTGATTCCGAGAATTCAGATGATTTCTGGAAACCATTCACCACATCATCTTCACCAATTGACAATTTGGTAAAAGACGGTGGTTTGGTTCCACAAGAGGAGCAGATATTAGGGCTTGAAAAAGGTGATTCTCAAGGCAGTGAAGATGAATCCTCAGAGAAGCCAAGTTCCCAGCGGAAGTCTTCCAAGACGTTGAAACGGAACAAATGGAAACCTGAGGAGGTGAAGAAACTCATTAAAATGCGTGGGGAATTGCGTAGTAGATTTCAAGTTGTGAAGGGGAGAATGGCACTCTGGAAAGAAATATCAACACATTTAATGAATGAGGGGTTTAATCGCACACCTGGCCAATGCAAATCCCTATGGGCATCTCTGCTACAGAAATACGAGGTTCGTTCCTTCAGTACATCTGTATGTATGTGATAGTATTCTGGGCTTTTTTATGCCCTCTATGATTCTTGTAGTACCTTGCTTGAGTGAATATCCAATACATCTCGAATTTATCATTTAACCTATTCACAACCACTGTTTATTTGAAAACAGGAAAGCAAGAGTGAGAAGAAAAGCCAAAAGAGTTGGCCATTCTTTGAAGACATGAATAAAATTTTATCAGACTCTGAGCTGATGAAAACAGAATGATTGAAGATGGAGGATAAGAACAATGTGAACTGAATTATTTATCTTAAAAGTTTGGCTTGGCCACATTGTTTGTATCACAGGTTCAGCTTGTAGAAGCAGTGTAGTAAAGTTGGAAGAATGATAAAGGAGAAATGGATTAGTTTCAAAATTCAAAGCCAGAGAGGCCTGCCTGTGAATTGGGTAACCCTCCCCATATACACGCAATGACAGACGAGGTTGATTAAGTTTTGTAGTTATAGAACCTTTATGTAAATTGGTTTCTCTCTCTATCCTATTTATTTGTTATTATTTATTTTTTCTTTTTAGTCCTTAAATAGTTAAATCTCCAAATTTCTTCTACCAAATTTTAACAAAGAGACTCTCGCCATCACTTGGTAGTAGGGATGTAAAAAAGTCCGCCCGGGTATGTAACTATGTTTTAAAACCTGGACCGGTCCGATCGGGAGTCGGTCTTTACTCTGGTTTGGGTTGACATAAAAACCAGGAATGTAATTAAATCCGCTTTGGACTGGTAATGGACTGTAGGAACAGTACAAAACTATCGGTTCAATTGGTCTAGGGCTTAAAACGGTTCGCTATTTTTGGGTATTTGATCCTAAAAAATTCATATTCCTAATTCCTAAATCAATCTGCAGCATCGTTTCATTCTTCATGTCATTTGAATAAAATAACCAAATTGCATCTTCCATTTTCATCTTCTATTTTTCTTTACTTACTTTAAAATCTACAGTGTAAAGAAGAAGTAAGGGAAGGGAAAGGAAGAAAGAGAAGAGGAGACAAGAGAGAGTAAGGAAGAAGATTAGAAGAAAGAAAAGAGGAGATGAAGAGAAAAAGAAGGAAGAAGAAAGAGAAGAGGAGAGAAAAATTACAGTAGAGACTAGAGAGACACGAATGTGTTAGAAGAAAGAAGAAAGTGACGGGGAGTGAAGGGGAGAGAGAGAAAAAAGGAGAAAGAAGAAAGTGATGGGGAGTGATGGCTTGATGGGGAGAGAGAAAAAAGGAGAAAGATAGAAGTAATGGAGAGAGAGAGAAAAAAAATTAATAATAAGATCTGTAGGGTGCATTTGTTTTATTTTAAACTTGCAGAGGCTTATAGGTAAATTTTAGGGATGTATTTATTGGTTTTCAAACTTATAACAATTAATGGAATTGTTTAAAGATATGACTGCTATATACCGGTCAGACCGACCGGTCCAATCGGTTGGATTGGTCAACCCGCGAACCGACCCCTTGACTAAGTCAACGAGCGGTCCGGTTTTTAAAACAATGGTATGTAAAAGAAATCTTGTAAAATTATTATAGGCCTTACATAAAATTACAACTGCCCTTGAAAAGTTTTCAAAAGCCCCTTCAAATTAGTGTTTTAAAACCATTGTTTTAAAAACCGAACATTTCGTTGACCCGATCAAGGGGCCAGTTCGCGGGTTGATCGGTCCAACCGATTGGACCGGTCGGTCTAACCGGTATGTAACAGTCCCATCTTTAAACAATTCCATTAATTGTTATAAGTTTGAAAACCAGCAAATACATCCCTAAAAGTTACCTATAAACCCCTGTGAGTTTAAAATAAAGTAAATACACCCTCAAGTTTTATTATTAATTATTTTTTCTCTCTCCCCATCACTTCCATCTTTCACTTTTCTTTCTCTCTCCCCATCAGGCCATCACTCTCCATCAATTTCTTTCTTTTTCCTTTTTTCTCTCTCTCCCCATCACTCCCCGTCACTTTCTTCTTCCTCTTTCTTCTCTTTCTTCCTCCTCTTTCTTCTTCGTCTCTTTCTTCTTCCTCTACTGTAATTTTTCTTCACTTTCTCTTCATCTGCTCTTTTCTTTGTTCTAATCTTCTTCCTTACTCTTTCTCGTGTCTCCTCTTCTCTTTCTTCTTCCTTCCCTTCCCCTCCCCTTACTTCTTCTTCTTTACAATTGAAGATGAAAATGGAAGATAATGAAACGGTGCTGAAATTAGTTTAGGAATATGAATTTTTTTTGAATTAAACGAACCGTTTTAAGCCCCCGGCTGGTCGGTTCGACGGTTTTGTACTGTTCCGTTGGTCCATTACCGGTCCAAAATGGGTTTATTGACATTCCCAGTTTTATGTAAATTCGGATCGGAGTAAAAGACGGCTCCTAATCGAACCGGTCGGACCGACCGGTCCGGTCTTGGTTTTAAAACAGAGTTTAAAACTCGACCTGGTTGGCCTATTGAACTGTTCAATTGGGACTTGGGGCTTTCACCTGGTTGGGTTGCCTATTTATCTATTTACCGAAAACCCTAGAAATTTGGATGATGATTGGCGAATAATTGAAGGTCAAGATGTTGAGACTTTTGAAGAAAAAGTGTCGGTGAGTGGAATGGTCGCGACGGAGGTGATTTCCAGTGAGTGAATCAACTGGAAATTGAAAAAAAATCGGTGGCGACAACAGTCTAATTTTGCCGGCAATTAGGGTGGCGAACGGGGGTGGGGTGAGATGGGATTTGGTCAAGAGGCTGAGGGGAGTATTTTTGTGGTGATGGGGAGGGGTTGTCGATGCTGGTGGTTGTGAGATCTGGCTTGGAATGTTAAAGTCGGCGTCAGTGAGATCTGGTCGAAATATAATTTATTTCAGCCAGATCTTGGGTTGATTTTATGGGGAATAGAGATGATTGGGATTGCATTTGGTGTGTCGTCACCGCCAACCAGTTGATCGCCAATTTGTATTTGGGGTGTGTTTGTTAAATTTCAAACATGTAAGGACTTAACTGTAATTTTTAGGGGTGTATTTGTTAAATTTTAAACTTGTTGAGACCCGGTTTGACCCGACCCAACAAAGTCAACTTTGTCAAGTTTCACTGTAGGTTGGTTATTAAAACATTGCTTCAAATTACAACTATCTCTATAATATAAAATTAATTAGAATAAAACCTCTCTATATTGATAATGATGGGATCAAATTAATTTATTACTATTAGGAGATTATAACTTAATAAAGGTGTAGTTACAAAAATTACTATTTTAATTTCTTATTTTATAATTCACATTTTAGTAGTATGTATTAAGATTTCAATTTATTGTTTTAGTAGTATTAAAATTTCTTTTTTACTTTTAATATTACTTGATTTTTTTATCTTATAATTCATGTTTTAGATAAATATTTTATTTCTCTTAAACCTTTAATATCACATAACATTTTTTTTTTTTTTCTGCAATATACATATATTTATGTATTACTTTGCTAAGATAACTTTCTTAAAATGAGATTAGAAAAAGTATAACTTATTACAATGTGGAGTTTATTCTTATTTATAACTATCCTAAGTTGAGACTAAAATTTTTAATGATTACATAAAGGTTATTCTTATATATAATATCACTATAGAAAAGTTTTACTGTACTTACTTCATGTCCTAGCTATTAGGTAAAATTTTAGAAAATCCTTGTTTTCGTATCAACCAAACCCCAATTAGTTAAAAATGGAGGAGGAAAACTAGAAAAGTGTGAAAAATAAAAGAAACATTTATGATGAATTTTAACAATAGTCTTTATAAATGTTTTTATTTTTTCTTGAATTATGATTTTGAAAATTATATATATTTTTAACTGACAAAAAGTGGTTAAAGACTTATTATATGCAATTGTTGCACAAGAGTGGCAAGCTGCATCGTAATCATCCTTTAGTCCTATCATATCATCCAACCAAGCTTTTATGTTGTTAGTAGATTAAGAATAATAGATATCCTAATTCAATTCCAAAATCATATCAAAAGTTATTATTGCAATCATATTTTCACTTAAACAAACTGCAATAAAGTTCACATTATAATTACCTCCTTTTTGTCAATCAAAAGCACAAACCACCGTCCTCTTGAATTCCAATAAAAATAATGAATGAAGAGAGAAATATTTTCATAAGAGAGTTGAGAGGAGAGTTTTTCATCAATGAAAAACTCTTTTATACATGTAGCAGACACAATAATATAATTGGGTGGGTCTCATCATGGGTGTCCCACCCATATCTAATATCTCCCACTCACATATGACGAGACTATTTCTCTTTGTGCTTCTTCAAGGTTTATACTTTAGTAAATATACTGTGTGACCATGCATACATCGAGAGCACATTAGTCATATATCTATTAGGAATATATAACTTCTCGAATTGTGAAACTTGGGTTGTATATTATATGCAATACCCTAGATTACTTATCACATCTTTTTCTAACAATCTCATTTATAATAAACATTTGTTGTATTCATAATTATGTTTTATCCTTACATAAAAAAACAAAACATAATTGGTCGACCAATGAATACACATGATTGTAGTGTGATAATCCAAAAAATTGTAATCTTCCTCTTTCTTAATTCTTATAACTTTCATTTAATTTGTTTTTCCAGAAATGTGCTAACAAATTGAATTTATCTTAATCTTTTGGAAATACTCTAAGATAACAATCATTAAATAAGGTTTTCAAGAACCAGAATAGAGTAATAAGGGTACTCTATGAGATTTTATTTTTATAATCTTAGGGTCTCACAATGTTAAAGTTGAGATTTTAACTTTCATTATCCTTTTGGTAAATATTTTTGCACATGTAATATGAATCACATGCTACAACATTTCCTTCTTTCCCATGGAGTGCATGTCTCTTTTTTCTTGTAAATGTCATACAAATTTTAGTTCAGACATATCAAATGTCTAACTTGAGTTCACTTTACATACTTTTAATTTATCAGAACTCTAATTGTTGTGTCGTTTGAAATAACTACTAGTAAGTGCACTAGTCTCAAGTAATATAGTATAACAAAATATAGGTTATCGTACCCAAAGGATTGCGTAAACAAGTACTAAAATATTAATTAGTCTTAACTTTATCTAGATAATCAAAACTTAGAATGGTGATCTTTAAAACTAAAAATATTAAAAGCTGAAATATTAGAAACGAACAATTGCAGTAAAACTATACTTAAGAATTCAATGAGAGAAAACGGCTAAGACTTCAGGCTCATCTATAACTTCTCTGCACCCCTCAATTTACTATGGTCATTGAATTTATTTAATTAATGTGACGACTGGATTTCTTAGGTTAACCAATATTCTTTCTCAAGCAATATTGATTCCACTTCTATCTCACAACCTAGATATCTCTATATAGATTTAATGAAATAGACGAGCATTAAGCTTTATGAAATCCTCTAGCTTTCAGCACAAGTTAATCTTGCCTATGACTATTGCATGTATTAATTCATATAACTCTATATCCAATTAATCCATGACCTATATTACTAGAACACT